ACTTATGTCGGATATACTCGGTCAATCGGTAGATTTGATATCTTTGAACCGTCGATCTTTGGTGTATACCTAGACAACCATAAGTCACACAATCAACCCTTAACCGTCTTTGGTTCTCATTGTTGTGTTCGTTTCAGCCATGAACACCGCCTGGTTTCATAAGTGCGTAGAGAACTGGCCTTACAAAGTTCTCCTTGAAGCGGCTAACACTTCACACTTACATAGGTGATTCCTAAACGTGTCATCCTGTAGATACACTATTTGATATACCCCGTATCAAATTTAGAAATCATTAAAAAGCCTTAATGCTTTATCCTTGGTACTGAACATTGTCTCATCACGAGAACGGACTAAAATTTTATTTGACAATGTTGAACCTTACCTTAAGAGTTACGACTAGAATTCACCAATTGATCTCAAGATAGTAGTGTCACCAAAATTATGAGTTTACTCAAGGCAACAATAGTATGATCATTTAAATTTGTAAAAAACATTCAAGCTCAGCTCGTGAACTTGTTTTTATCATGTTTCAAGCCCTAGATTAATTTTTTTGGCTTTTCATTTGGTGTCCGCTATCCACTCCGGGATACGCCTAAGATCAAATTTGTGCCAAAAAGTTCCACTTAAGGGGGATAAAATATCTCCTACCAAATACAACTCCATACTCATATATCGAACGGTCGAACCCGAAATCTATAGTTAATGATGAAGTAGTACTTACCGCTCCATCATGATATTTGGTGGTCAAACCCTAGACTATAACCCCTTTCTGCGAAATTTCCTCCAAATGATCTCTTATGCCCAACAATGCATGCCTTTCTTCCATTCAGTTAATTCTTAAACTTTCTTTAATTAACCAATAATGTTATCAATGATTTCTATATTTTTCCTTAATCATATTTAGTTCATCTTCAAATCTCATAGGCTTATTTATTAGATTGTAGAATAAATTAGCTAATCTAATAACTAGTTAATTAGTAACTAGTTCCAAACAGTGTTGTGTAAGAACAACACTGTTTGCACTATCATCAGCAATAGTATGCGACAGATTACTCTAGAGGCCAATCACAATGGAAATAATTTCTGGATTACAGGGATCTATGCTAAATCTACTATCGAAAAAAGAAGGAAACTTTAGCGCAAAATCAGGTCTGTCCATCACTACATCAACGGGCCATGGACTATTCTGGGAGACTTCAATGTCATTACGAATGCTGCTGAAAAGAAAGGTGGTGCACCTTACTCCTTAAATGAGAACATAGATTTTCTTTCATTCATGGAGGATTGTGGGATGTGCGACCTAGGCTTCAATGGCTATCCTTTCACATGGTGCAATGGCAGGGGTAGAAGAAACAGAATAAGCGAGAGGCTGGATAGAGTCATGATTAATGAAGGCTGGTCAGATCTTTTTCATTCTAACAGGGTTGACCACAAAGGCAAGACTGGATCTGACCATAGTCTCATGATTTTCAAAGCCGGTAATGATAGTGCTGAATTCACCAGGTACTTCAGGTTCCTCAACTTTTGGACCTCTCAAAGTAGCTATCTCTCTACAGTGGAGGAAATTTGGAACATTGACGTTCAAGGCAACTATCTTTGGGTATTACAACAGAAACTTAAAGCTATTTCTAAAGGCCTGAGAAAATGGTCCAAAGATACCATTGGTGATATTTTTGAAACCATTAAAAAACTAGAGACTGATATCTGCCGACTAGAGGAAATCTATGATGCTAACGACACTGACAATAACAGGCAGACTCTTATGAAGGCCCATGCTGAATACACCAGATGGCTAATAATACAAAAGTCCATTTTCAAACAGAAAGCAAGAATCAAATGGGCAGAGGAAGGAGATGCCAACACCAAATACTTCTATAGTGTAGTGAAAGAGAAAAGAAGGAAAGCTCATATACATAAAATCAGAGATGCCAATGGATGATGGATTGAGGGTACTGAGGCTATCTCTAATGTTGTTGTGGACCACTTCTCTAAACTCTGAGCACAGCCCCAGTGACAATGATCTATCTATCTTACAATGTGTGGACTCACTTATTACAGATGAAGACAACAGATACATGTATGAATTGCCATATGAAGAAGAGATAAGGGATACTGTCTTTTCCATGGATCCCAATAGTGTTGCTGGTCCTGATGGATTTAATGGGCACTTTTATCAAGCTACCTGGAATATTATTAAAAAGGAGGTGTGCCAATTTGTCCAAGCTTACTTCTCTGGGACCAGTATTACTAAATACTTCACTCACACTAGCCTCGTTCTAATTCCAAAAGTATCCTCACCTTCCACCTTAGACCAACTCAGACTTATTAGTCTGTGCAATGTGTCCAACAAGATTATCTCCAAAATCTTATCTACCAGATTATCCCAACTACTCCCCAAACTCATCTATGATAACCAAACAGGCTTCATCAAGGGTAGGCTTATTACTGAGAACATCCTTCTGGCCCAAGAGATTATCCATGATATTGGTAAGAATAACCAGGGAGGCAACATTGTCATTAAACTCGATATTTCCAAAGCCTATGACAAATTATCTTGGAGATTCCTTTCAGATATGCTTAGGAAATTAAACTTCTGTGAGGTTGTGATTGACATGATCTACAGGCAACTTGCTGACAATTGGTATTCTATCCTGATCAATGGTACAAGAAATGGTTTTTTTAAATCCTCCAGAGGTTTAAAACAAGGGGACCCCATATCCCTCTCTCTCTTTATTTTGGCTGCTGAAGCACTGTCTAGAGCTCTAAATAAGCTCCATGAGAATAGCCAGTTCATTGGCTTCTCTATGAGCACTAGTGGCCCCAAGATCAATCACTTGAGCTATGCTGATGACCTGGTCCTCTTCTCCCCAGGAGATAGGAATTCTATCAAACTCATCATGGAGGTCCTCAATGACTATCAACATATTTCAGGGCAGGAAGTTAACAGGGATAAAAGTTTCTTTCTCACTCAGAATTCAAGAACATAAGGGTGAACAGGAGGATCAAAAAGTGGATAGGTTTCAAACAAATGGAATTTCCCTTTACTTATCTAGGTTGCCCAATCTTTATTGGCAGGAAAAAAACTTCTACTTTTTTGATCTCGCCTCTAAGGTCCTTAATAAAGCAGGCGGTTGGCAAGGGAACTTGCTTTTATTTGGGGGTAGGGCTATCATAATCAAACACATTCTGCAATCCCAAATTCTCTATCTACTTGCTGCTATGGTACCACCAAAAGCTATTATTAGCCAAATTGTAATGTACCTCTCTAACTTCTTCTGGGGAGAAAATAAAGGCAAAAAGAGCTATGATTGGAGCTCCAGGGAGAATTTGAGCTACCTCCACAATAAAGGGGGAGTTGGTTTCAAGAAGCTTTAAGACATTTGTAACTCATTTGCTGCTAAAAGATGGTGGAGGTTAAGGGTAGAAAATAATTTATGGACCAGGTTCCTCAATGCAAAGTATTTCCCTAGATCTAATCCACTATCCAAAATTCTTGTGCCTAAGGACTCCAATTCCTGGAGGAACTTAATGAGTACTAGAGACATAATTGATTATCACATTTTCTGGAAGATACATGAAGGCAACATCTTATTTTGGTGGGACAAATTGACTCCTAGGGGTCCTATCAACATACACAACAACAACACTCAGAAACCTGGCAATACAAGGGTCTGTGAATTTATCCACAACCAGGGCTGGGATATGGAGAAATTACAAGACATTGTCAACCAATATATCTTAAGCGAAATTTCCCAGGTGGATATAGGCCAGCAGCATCGCAAAGACAGGGCTATTTGGACGCCTAATGTTCAAGAAAACTTCACATGTGTTTCTGCCTTCCATCTCCTAAAACAAAAAAGACAACCCACGTCTATGATGTCCAAGGTATGGATAAAGGAACTACCTTTCAAGATCTCCTTTAGTATCTGGAGAATTATTTACAAAAAGCTTCCCTTTGCTGACATACTTTAGAGATTTGGTGTTGCTTTACTACGCACTTGTTTTTGTTGTAGAGCCCCTAAAATTGAATCTCTGAACCATGTCTTTACCATTAGTGATATGGTCTCTAGTGTTTGGAATTATATCTCTTCTCCCTTTGGCTTCAATACTAGAGGAAGAAACATTCTCTCTATCCTTAATCACTGGTGGTCCATTCCCACCAAGAATCATGCTCAATTATTCCTCCTACAGATCACCCCTATGATTGTCTTGTGGGAATTATGGAAGGCTAGATGTAGCAAGAAGTATGGTACCAAATCAATATCTACCTATAATATTTGCCAATAAGTTCTATTACAGGTTAAGATATCCATGGGGCTTAAATTCAGTAAGATAGGTTGGGATTGGAACTGGTGGAAGGTGTGCCAGACTGTTGAATCCTACAAACCTACCCTCAAAAGTACCATGGTTATATGGTCCAAACCGGAAGGCAACTTCTGGAAGCTAAACACTGATGGGAGCTACATTGATAATCAAGGCAAGGTTGGAGTTGGGGGCATTGTTAGGAACAAAAATGGACATATGGTGATGGCCTTTGCATCACCAGTCCAATTCTTGACGAACAACTATTCAGAGGTCCAAGCAGCCTTACAAGGGATACAGTGGTGTTGTGCTCAAAATTGCTTCAACTTTACCTTGGAGATAGATTCGCTACTGGTTGTAAACATGGTCCTTGACCAATGCAAAATTCCATGGAAACTTCACAAAGACATCACCCTTATCCAAAAGATAGTAAGGCAGCACAATATCAAGGTCATGCACTGTTATAGAGAAGGGAATGGAGTCGCTGATCTTCTTTCCAAGCATGTTAATTATGTGACTCGCAGCGTTATTTACACTAATGAGAATGACCTCCCTCCTGAAATAAGAGGTGTTGTTAGAGTTGATAGAATACAAGTTCCAGCCTTCAGGTTAAAGGCAAAGAAACACTCAGGATGGTACTTTGAACCACCATAATCTATTGAGAAGGGCTGCTTTTGATTATCTTTACTAACAATGCAGCCCTTTTTGTAAGGTGTTATGCGTACCAGGTCCTAGACCATCAATAATCCATTTTAATATTTGTCTTCTGGAGGTTAGGTATTACGTCCCCCTCTAATGTACTTAATTTTACGATCTATATACGAGGTAGGGGATAATGCCAAACCCCCCATCATCTTGGGCCAGCATAGCCCGGATGAATGGTTTATAAAATAAATAAATTTAAAATAAAAAAAAACTAGTTCCACATAGACTCAAAACTTTCAGAGTAGTCAAACCTTTTAAAAATTTAAGACAAATGGAAAGAAAGCATATGCATGTGTCTGTTTAGTATTCTTTTCGTATTATATATTTCTTTCTTTTTTTAAAACTAGGAACATCCTTATATGGAGTATCTTTTATATGGTCTTAATAAGAGCAGGTTTTTGCAGTTAAGTGAAGAAAAATACCTTCTCTTTCTCTACCTCATGTCTCATCTGATTGAACAGAATATAGAACTAAAATTGGTGGATTTGATTTTTATCAATTTCTTTTTTAACTTTGTTTTTTTGATTGTTTGCAGAGAAGCTTAATGAGTACTATAGACATAATTGATTCTCACATTTTCTAGAAGATACATGAAGGCAACATCTTATTTTGGTGGGACAAATTGACTCCTAGGGGTCCTATCGACATACACAACTACAACACTCAGAAACCTGGCAATACAAGGGTCTGTGAATTTATCCACAACAAGGGCTGGGATATGGAGAAATTACAAGACATTGTCAACCAATATATCTTAAGCGAAATTTTCCAGGTGGATATAGACCAGCAGCATCGCAAAGACAGGGCTATTTGGACGCCTAATGTTCAAGGAAACCTCACATGTGCTTCTGCCTTCCATCTCCTAAGACAAAAAAGACAACCCATGTCTATGATGTCCAAGGTATGGATAAAGGAACTACCTTTCAAGATCTCCTTTAGTAGCTGGAGAATTATTTACAAAAAGCTTCCCTTTGCTGACATACTTTAGAGATTTGGTGTTGCTTTACTACCCACTTATTTTTGTTGTAGAGCCCTTAAAATTGAATCTCTGAACCATGTCTTTACCATTAGTGATATAGTATCTAGTGTTTGGAATTATATCTCTTCTCCCCTTGGCTTCAAGACTAGAGGAAGAAACATTCTCTCTATCCTTAATCACTGGTGGTCCATTCCCACCAAGAATCATGCTCAATTATTCCTCCTACACATCACCCCTATGATTGTCTTGTGGGAATTATGGAAGGCTAGATGTAGCAAGAAGTATGGTACCAAATCAATATCTACTTTTAATATTTGCCAACAAGTTCTATTACAGGTTAAGATATCCATGGGGCTTAAATTCAGTAAGATGGGTTGGAATTGGAACTGGTGGAAGGTATGTTAGACTGTTGAATCCTACAAACCTACCCTCAAAAGTACCATGGTTATATAGTCCAAACCGGAAGGCAACTTCTGGAAGCTAAACACTGATGGGAGCTACATTGCTAATCAAGGCAAGGTTAAAGTTGGGGGCATTGATAGGAACAAAAATGGACATATGGTGATGGCCTTTGCGTCACTAGTCCAATTCTTGACGAACAACTATTCAGAGGTCCAAGCAGCCTTACAAGGGATATAGTGGTGTTGTGCTCAAAATTGCTTCAACTTTACCTTGGAGATAGATTCGCTACTGGTTGTAAACATGGTCCTTGACCAATGCAAAATTCCATGGAAACTTCACAAAGACATCACCCTTATCCAAAAGATAGTAAGGCAGCACAATATCAAGGTCATGCACTGTTATAGAGAAGGGAATGGAGTCGCTGATCTTCTTTCCAAGCATGCTAATTCTGTGACTCGCAGCGTTATTTACACTAATGAGAATGACCTCCCTCCTGAAATTAGAGATGTTGTTAGAGTTGATAGAATACAAGTTCCAGCCTTCAGGTTAAAGGCAAAGAAACACTCAGGATGGTACTTTGAACCTCCATAATCTATTGAGAAGGATTGCTTTTGATTATCTTTACTAACAATGCAGCCCTTTTTGTAAGGTGTTATGCGTACCAGGTCCTAGACCATCAATAATCTATTTTAATATTTGTCTTCTGGAGGTTAGGTATTACGTCCCCCTCTATTGTACTTAATTTTACGATCTATATACGAGGTAGGGGATAATGCCAAACCCCCATCATCTTGGGCCAGCATAGCCCGGATGAATGGTTTATAAAATAAATAAATTAAAAAAAAAACTAGTTCCACATAGACTCAAAACTTTCAGAGTAGTCAAACCTTTTAAAAATTTAAGGCAAATGGAAAGAAAGCATATGCATGTGTCTGTTTAGTATTCTTTTCGTATTATATATTTCTTTCTTTTTTTAAAACTAGGAACATCCTTATATGGAGTATCTTTTATATGGTATTAATAAGAGCAGGTTTTTGCAGTTAAGTGAAGAAAAATACCTTCTCTTTCTCTGCCTCATGTCTCATCTGATTGAACAGAATATAGAACTAAAATTGGTGGATTTGATTTTTATCAATTTCTTTTTTAACTTTGTTTTTTCGATTGTTTGCAGACAAACTTAATGAGTACTAGAGACATAATTGATTCTCACATTTTCTAGAAGATACATGAAGGCAACATCTTATTTTGGTGGGACAAATTGACTCCTAGGGGTCCTATCGACATACACAACAACAACACTCAGAAACCTAGTAATACAAGGGTCTGTGAATTTATCCACAACCAGGGCTGGGATATGGAGAAATTACAAGACATTGTCAACCAATATATCTTAAGCAAAATTTTTCAGGTGGATATAGACCAGCAGCATCGCAAAGACAGGGCTATTTGGACGCCTAATGTTCAAGAAAACCTCACATGTGCTTCTGCCTTCCATCTCCTAAGACAAAAAAGACAACCCATGTCTATGATGTCCAAGGTATGGATAAAGGAACTACCTTTCAAGATCTCCTTTAGTAGCTGGAGAATTATTTACAAAAAGCTTCCCTTTGCTGACATACTTTAGAGATTTGGTGTTGCTTTACTACCCACTTATTTTTGTTGTAGAGCCCTTAAAATTGAATCTCTGAACCATGTCTTTACCATTAGTGATATAGTATCTAGTGTTTGGAATTATATCTCTTCTCCCCTTGGCTTCAAGACTAGAGGAAGAAACATTCTCTCTATCCTTAATCACTGGTGGTCCATTCCCACCAAGAATCATGCTCAATTATTCCTCCTACACATCACCCCTATGATTGTCTTGTGGGAATTATGGAAGGTTAGATGTAGCAAGAAGTATGGTACCAAATCAATATCTACTTTTAATATTTGCCAGCAAGTTCTATTACAGGTTAAGATATCCATGGGGCTTAAATTCAGTAAGATGGGTTGGAATTGGAACTGGTGGAAGGTATGTTAGACTGTTGAATCCTACAAACCTACCCTCAAAAGTACCATGGTTATATGGTCCAAACCGGAAGGCAACTTCTGGAAGCTAAACACTGATGGGAGCTACATTGCTAATCAAGGCAAGGTTAAAGTTGGGGACATTGATAGGAACAAAAATGGACATATGGTGATGGCCTTTGCGTCACCAGTCCAATTCTTGACGAACAACTATTCAGAGGTCCAAGCAGCCTTACAAGAAATACAGTGGTGTTGTGCTCGAAATTGCTTCAACTTTACCTTGGAGATAGATTCGCTACTGGTTGTAAATATGGTCCTTGACCAATGCAAAATTCCATGGAAACTTCACAAAGACATCACCCTTATCCAAAAGATAGTAAGGCAGCACAATATCAAGGTCATGCACTATTATAGAGAAGGGAATGGAGTCGCTGATATTCTTTCCAAGCATGCTAATTCTGTAACTCGCAGCGTTATTTACACTAATGAGAATGACCTCCCTCCTGAAATTAGAGGTGTTGTTAGAGTTAATAGAATACAAGTTCCAGCCTTCAGGTTAAAGGCAAAGAAACACTCAGGATGGTACTTTGAACCTCCATAATCTATTGAGAAGGGCTGCTTTTGATTATCTTTACTAACAATGCAGCCTCTTTTGTAAGGTGTTATGCGCACCAGGTCCTAGACCATCAATAATCTATTTTAATATTTGTCTTCTGGAGGTTAGGTATTATGTCCCCCTCTATTGTACTTAATTTTACGATCTATATACGAGGTAGGGGATAATGCCAAATCCACCATCACCTCGGGCCAGCATAGCCCGGATGAATGGTTTATAAAATAAATAAATTAAAAAAAAAAATAGCTCCACATAGACTCAAAACTTTCAGAGTAGTCAAACCTTTTAAAAATTTAAGACAAATGGAAAGAAAGCATATGCATGTGTCTGTTTAGTATTCTTTTCGTATTATATATTTCTTTCTTTTTTTAAAACTAAGAACATCCTTATATGGAGTATCTTTTATATGGTCTTAATAAGAGCAGGTTTTTGCAGTTAAGTGAAGAAAAATATCTTCTCTTTCTCTGCCTCATGTCTCAGCTGATTGAACGGAATATAGAACTAAAATTGGTGAATTTGATTTTTATCAATTTCTTTTTTAACTTTGTTTTTTTGATTGTTTGCAGAGAAAGAAAAAGAAATCATCTCATGGAGAGTAGATTGGACATGCATGAGATTGAATGAATTTTCATCAAGGTATTTTCACTACGGAGTACTAAAATAATGAACCTTTCTTAATACTTTTTTTCTTTTTTACGATTTAAAAAACGTAACAATTACCGATCACTATAATTAGTTGTTACACAAAGCCCTATCACGGCAAATTTTCTTAAGAAGTAGGCTCGAAAGTGGATGTAGCCAGTAGGATTTGAAGCTTACGAGTTTGGGATTTTTGTCTTTTTAAATTACGATTGAGTTCTAATTAAGTAATAACTANTAAACTATAGAAGCTACTGGTTTTATTTTTTTTAAATAATTTGATTGTAACTGAAACAAATTTTGTTTTTGCGACGCTTTGAAATCTTTTTTACAGAAACAAAACACAGAATTTTCTTTTTATCTGACCATGAATAATGGTGACGCTTATGAAACAGTACATAGCTTCTTCTTTTTTGTGACAATACTAGTAAGCTAATTTTTGTACAATTCTAATGCAAGACAAAAAAAACTATATATATTTAAATTTACTATATTCTTCATCTTGCATCAGTTTTTCAAAATGGCATATGTCTTTACATAGATTGTTATCTACTACTTAAATATCAAAGTTAAATAATAGAACGTCTCGCCTATCACTAATTAACTGTAGTAGTATACTAAGTAAATATTTTTCTTGGCATATATATTTTCTGAGGGACCAAAATTATTGTGCATTTATAAAAAAGGAAAAGAAATATATTTTGGCATATAAAATCACATCTTTTCTTTTATTTTATTTTCCTTCCTTTTTTGTCACCTCTTCTTTTTTTACCTAAGTTATTCAATAAAAACCCTAAAATTCTCAATATTTGAACAGCTGTTTTCCAGCTTCATTATTATGTACTATATGTGTTCTATGTCCAATCTGGTAGTCTTAATTCCATTTGGGGTAGTAAATTTATTATCTTCTTTAAAAAAAACATGAGTTTTTAAAAAATACTACTGTAAAATGGAAAAAACATTAAGAAAATGGCCGTTCCATCCATTCTTGTATATTTTACCTTTTAAGAAGCTCATTTCTTGATTTTCTTTGCCATATATATATGTATATATATATATATATATATATATATAAAATCTTTAAATCATCAAGTTGTTGACCTATAACAATATATAACTCTTCAAAACAAGCCTAAAATGCACGGTAACCTAGAAAAAACAGTGATAACATATTATACCACATTATACTTTGTTTACACCATTAGTTGAGAAAAAATAAAAAACAGTTCGATGCACAAAGCATTCCACACTCACGCAGGATCCGAAGAAGAGTCGCACCCCTAAGGAGTGTGATATAGACAGTCTCTATCCTAATGCATTTATTATATGCTGCTTCCACGACTCAAACCCGTGAGACAACTTTACCGTTTCTCCAAGTTTTACACTATTAGTGTATATAACTTTAATTTGCACATCAATGAATTAACTAACACTCGTTTTTGAATCATTCTAAGTTATTGTATGGTTTAATTTCAGGTGTATATATCAGGCAATACACAAGACATATTGCAAAGCCATTTTCACAAGAACATTAAATTTGGATTCATGCTTATAATCCTAATGATGGTTTCAATGGCTATCTCCATATTTACTTTTGTGGTTCTAACAATAAGAGCAGCAAGAAGAGAAATGTATTTGTGTGCAGCACTTATAAAGCAAATGGAAGCAACTCAACAAGCAGAAAGGAAAAGTATGAACAAAAGCACTGCATTTGTTCTTGCAAATCATGATATTAGAGCTTCTCTTGCTGGAATTAGTGGATTAATTGAGATGTGTCGTGCCAATGCTTCGCCAAAATCCGAATTGCAGAAGAATTTGAATCATATGGAAACTTGCACAAATAATCTTTTAGGTCAGTGTTTTAGTTGACTCTTTCATATCATCAGATTTAACTTATATACACTGACATTATCGTTAGTATCAATGTATTTTAACATGTTGTAGTAGGTAACTGTCTTATTTTATACGTTACTAATCTCACCTTTATTGGACGGTTACTCGTTTATGGAAGCTTGCACAAATAATCTTTTAGGCCAGTGTTTTAGTTGCCCGGTTTATTGCTTTTGGCCTGTTTTAAGCAGTTTTAAACTTATTTTAAGCACACTTTTTGACTTTGCCAAACATTGAAAAAATACTTTAAAAAAAAACTTAAAAGCTGATTTGTCCAGCTTAAAAGCCAATCCAAATACCTTCTTAACTTATACAGTGACAGTTTAAAGAATTTCGTCAGTATCAATATATTTTAACACAATAAGTGTCCGGTTTAATTCTCACTTTCCTCTTCTGTTTTCCCTTTTCTAATCTCCTATAGATGTTATATAGAAAATATTTAACTAAAATATAGCAAATCCCCTATATATATATATAATAATTTTAACTAAAATATAGCTTAGTGCATTTGAGCTTAAATTGTATTTCAAACACATACACACATATATATAGTGTGTGTGAGATTGTGACTCGGAGGTCACGTGAAAACAGCCTCTTGCAGAAATGCAAGGTAAAGCTGCGTACAATAGACCCTTGTGGTCCAGCCCTTCCCCGGACCCCGCACATTGCAGGAGCTTAGTGCACCGGGCTGGCCTTTTTTTGTTTGTGTGTGTGTGATGAAGTGTCTGTAATGACAAAGTTATGATCTTTTTTCTTCAGCAATATTGAATTCTATTCTTGATCAAAGCAAGATTGAAGAAGGGAAGAAGCAACTTGAGCAAAAAGAATTCAACATGGAAGATCTACTAGAATATGTTGTCAACTTATTTTATCCAAAAGGAGCAATGAATAATGTAGATGTGATACTAGATCCATGTGATGGCTCTATCAAAAGATTTTCTCGCGTTAAAGGAGATAAGACAGAACTAGAACGGATCTTGACTAACTTGTTGAGTAATGCAGTTAAATTTACCTCAGAGGGGCACATTACTCTTCGAGTTTGGGCTCGAAAACCTGGTTTTGATCAAAGCTCCATTAGTTCTGCTCCAAATACAAGTAATTCTGGTATTGGTTGTATGTTATGTTTACTTTTGCACAATAATAATGAAGTTTCTGCTGAATTTCAAGTACATAAAAAAGTCGAGAACGATCCCAACTGCGTGGAATTCATATTCGAGGTGGAAGATACAGGGAAAGGAATACCTAAAGAGAAACATAAGTCTGTATTTGAGAATTATGTTCAAGTGAATGAGACGACTTCTAACCACGAACAACCAGGCACTGGCTTAGGCCTCAGCATTACTCAGTCTTTGGTACGTGTATCTTTTACTATAAACTACATACAGTAGCGAATTCAAAATTTAGAGTCAGTGTGTTCTGCTCTTTATATATACGATACAATTACACGTGCATATGACAAACCTGCTGTGTCTAATCTAGATCTGTTACTGCCTACATATGTATTCGTCAATCATATTAATAGCCATCTATTTTATAGATACTGTACAAAGCCAGCAAATCCCTTAGCCTTGTATAAGAGTGATGATAAAATAGAATAAAATTTACAGCAGTAAAGGTTAAAAAAAATTCCTGTTGGTCAAGTTTCTTGTGTTATCAGTGGCTACTGAAGTTTCTGTTTGGTACTAATCTTTTTATATATATAATGGAACTAAATTATGTGTGATATAACAAGAAAGATATTTATGGAAACACTATAAAACACAAGAATTTGTGAACAGCAAAAAGCGTTGCCTTCTGTATGTTTCCGAGTTGTCTCCTCTCCCATATGCATTACTTCATACCTATGACCTCCTGGCCATGTGACCAGAAGGTCAAGGGTTCGAGCTGTGGAAACACCTTCTTGCAGAAATGCAGGGTAAGACTGCGTACAATAGACCATTGTGGTCCGGCCCTTCCCCGGACCCGTGCATAGCAGGAGCTTAGTGCACCGGGTTGTCCTTTTTTTTTTCATTACTTCATATTTCATGTTTCTTTCTTGTTTTGATTCAATCTGTAGGTACATTTGATGGGAGGCGAAATAAGTATCGTCGACAAGAATATTGGTGCAAAGGGCACTTGCTTTAGATTCAACATTTTCCTGATATCATGTGATCAGCCTCAACAACATCAAGCATTTAGTGTTAATAATGCAAGAGAAGATTTGGAGTCACATTTTGGAGGTTATATATCTAGTGATCACTCCTATCATTATTCAGTAGCAAGTAGTAATAGTATCACTAGCCATCAGAAACCAGAAAGTTCTAGTACTGTCATTCTTTTCATCAGGGAGGAGGAAAGAAGCCGAGTTCTTCGTAGATTCGTGACGCGGATCATAGGCTTAGAGGTACATGTGGCGAGGCAACACGAGCAATTTTCACATAAGCTCAAGAAGGTAAAAAAGGAAATTATCAACTTTTCATCATACAACTCTGCCTCCTCCTCCTCAGGGAAATCAAAGGAAATTCCTCTCGGTGCTTTAGAAGGAACATATGATGATCATATCCCGTCGTTTCATAGGAGGGAAAGAGGACTTAATTCTAAGAGCGCGCTTATAAGATTCATCGTGATTATAATTGACACAAGTGCTGGCCCTATTCGAGAAATAACTCGAGCTATGGCTGAATTTCGAAAGGACTTTCCCAAGAATGTTTCCCTTCGAGTTGTTTGGCTCGATAAACCAGGGCTAGATGATGATAAGCTACCTTCAACAGATATAATCCTGACAAAACCACTACATGGTTCTTGTTTATATCATGTGCTCGGATTTGTACCAGAGTTCGGAGATAAGATTTTACCAACTGTCACACAAGAAACAAAGGATGAAACAACTTCAAGAATGAGGATTCAGCAACCTCCAATGAGGTCCAGAAGTCCACCCTTAGAAGCGAAAAGAGAGGATGTTTCTGTTGATGTTAATGGAAGTTCTAATAACAACTTACCTTTAACAGGAAAGAGAATTTTGGTGGTTGAGGATAACGCGATATTACTTATGGTTTGCAAAAGAATGGTTTCTCAGCTTGGTGCAACCATTTACACATGTAAAAATGGTGAACAAGCTCTAGCTCATATTCGCACAGGCCTTAGTGATCAACGCGATATAGGACCGTCTACTCCTTCACCACCATTTGATTATATTCTGATGGATTGTGAGGTAAGATGTGATTCATATTCATTTCTTCTGGTTGAAAACTTAGTTGCTTATATACTCCAAAAATGTTGTTGCACCGATGTCAGAACCTCCAAAAATGCATAATATTTGGAGGATCCGACATGGGTGTGGCAACACTTTTGGATGATTTGAGAAATATAGGTTAAATAGGACTTAAGAAGGGGAGCCTTGGAGCAACGATAAAGTTGTCTCTATGTGACCTATAGGTCACGCGTTCAAGCCGTAGAAGCAGCCATTAATGCTTGTATTAGGATAGGTTGTCTGCGTCACGCCCATTGCGGTGCGGTCCTTCCCCCGACCCTTGCGTGAATGCGGGATGCTTTGTGCATCGGGCTGCCCTTTTTTAGGTCAAAGAGGACTTAAGTTAACATTTTTGTTGCATGGTTCATAAATGGAAAGCTTAAAATGTTGTATTATTAGACTTTTACATATTACCATAAGAAGAAGTAATTTTGCCAGTGTATAATTTTTTTAGATTGTTAGGTTAAGTTGCCTACAATAACAGGTAACTACTTATACCAAGCCAAATCGAGTAACCTGAAAAATAGAATAGATAACAAGTTAACTACATCGATAGTATAAAATTTATTACATTGTCAGTATATATAACTTATATCGTTGTTTGTTTTGTTTATTGAAAGATGCCATTGATGGATGGATTTGAAGCAACCAGATGCATTAGGGAAGAAGAAGCGCGATATGGTATTCGAATTCCTATTATAGCTTTAACAGCTCATTCAGCAGAAGAAGAGATCATAGCTAAGATATTTCAAGTTGGAATGGATTATTACTTACCTGATAAACGAATCGACCGTGATGAGCTTTTGAAAGCCATAGATTATATAGAGCATAGAAATGTTTAAAAAATGCTCTATTTCGTCGAGCATTAATAAGTTTGTTACGTGAGACATAAAGTAAAATTTCTCTTCTTGCATGCAGAGGGATGTCCCCGCGGATAGCAGGAGCTTAGTGCTCCACACTACCCTTTTATTCTTATATGCACGGGGTCGCGAGAAACAGCCCTCAACTGTCTTTCTCATAGTTTTATCGTCTTTCTAAAGTTGAGTATCTTGTTTTTTTACTCTCATGTAAATGTTTTCGTGATATTTACAACTTGAAATGAAGAAACAAATTCTTAAATCTTACCAGATGGAGATGGAGCTCATGTCTTCCGTACATCTGAATTTATGATTTTGTGCCGACATTGTAAAGAATTTTTACACTATCAGGTTAAGCTCGCAAGTAAACTCTCTATATCAAGCTTGATATGATAACTTGAAAAATATAGTACAATAATTTGCTATAACCATGACCATCTGAGCACCAGCCATGGCCTCAGTGGTCATCTTTCCTAACCCAATGAACATCGTATTGTAAGTCCGAACGAGTCGAAGATATAAGTCCTTAAAAGGGATAACTGTGTCCTAATCCTGGCCACAGTCATCCAAGAAAATCTCAAAAAAAGCCTCAAGCCATCTCTCTCCTACATTCTTGCTTGAAGCAGTGTTGGCAACTACATAAGGAAGTGAGATCCAGAGCAAAAAAATGTAAAGAGATACGACTTCATATCGTTAATACTCTTCTTGAGACAATACGTCTACTTCGCCAGTTTTTGCATCCCTCGAGGTCAATGGTGGCATTCCCATACGTCTACTTCGCCAGTTTTTGCATCCCTTGAGGTCAATGGTGGCATTCCCACAGCATACTGGAGGGGTCACAGTTCATCATGACCATGTGGTTGTTCCCTGTTCATCGTTTCTAGTTTATCTTGTATTTCCTATCACATTTCGATATTTCACCATTAGAAGTTTTACGATAAGTAGTTAATGTAATAAGAGGAGATTATATATACAGTGTTAGAAGAAGCTTTTGTAGGGGGTGCCGGGGTGGGCAGCCGATATAGTGGTTAAGAAGAGCACCTTCAATTTTTCTTCCAGACAAAGTGCCGGTGTAGACAAAAAGGATAAATATCTGCCATAACAAACTACACGTCAGATTAAAGTGCACAAAAAATTCACTAAGCACATAAATCATGCAAGATTCTGCTTATATAAACATAGATAAATGCTTACTCGCAGCGGCTAGGTTCATCTACATCAGTAAGCTCATTTTTCAAACCACACCTTAATTTGACCTGTACAAATCAAAAACAATTTAGAAGGCAATAATGGATCTTAAGAAGAATGCTTAAGAGTGAATGCCGATCATCAAATTAGTAAGGTATCCTCACCTTTAAACTTCTATTTGGCCCATTCCAGCAATGGTCACCATTTGAAAATTGCATGGTTTTATAGGAATCCTCAAATTTATCCCAGTTTCTTGATGAAGCAAGGGAGAAAGAAAAAAGGAGTATGATGAGTTCTGAGCTTATAACATTCAGGCAGAAAGATAAAGATCTCGAAAAGGAATTCCAGATCATAATTATACACGTCAAACCTAAAATCAAGTAAAGCTGTCTCTCTCTTTTTTATGAATGAGAAATCCCCGAGGGACAGTGGCGCATGGTTCAAAACTCGATGGATAATATCCCCCTCTACCCTTCTTCGCTTTTGTCTGCAGCAGGATTCGAACCCATGACATGCGCCTACCCCACACATCACGCGTGCTGCGTTCTTATCATAGAAATAAGATGGCTAGCTATCAAACGGTTTTATCATTTCTATGATAGGTCTGCCATCAATATCTAAACTAAAGAGAGGATAACAAAGTGCAGAAAGTACTCCAGAATCGTGAAAGGATATTTGCAGTACTAGTCATGCTTGTCTTCTACTTCAGAGACAATCAACTAAAATTTGCTGCACAGAACGACGCAGATAATGCATATACTTGAGATGTTAAAGAACCTACCCCAAACGAGTTGTACTGTAGCCCTCAACTTGGCTAGCTTCTTTGAAAGGGCAAATCTTGTACGTGTACCTTAAGTAAAAAAAAAAAGTTAGTGCCTGCTAAAGAATAACTTAGTAATATATTACTAAAAATAAAACTAAGACTTAGGTTAACAAGACAATGAAAGATTCATCACTTGTTCTCCTTGCTCTCGAAACATTGACCATGGAATGAGTAGAATTCCTTCTCCGGTCCTGCAATAGAACTAGTGGTTCAGCATATGCAAAATTATTCGCCTTCTTCTTATAGAAGGAAAGTTATGAAAATATCCACAAGGAAGAAGAACATTAATAAACAAAAATACATGAATTTCCATACCAAAATCTTGTTTCAACTTTTCCGTCAAGCTAGATATCCTCGATTGGATTTTTGTCAACTTAGAACTTGACTCATCATACTCTTTGCGTATCTGGTCAGCATCTACGAGAGCAAAAACAAAACATCATCCATCATTTTCCTTCTCAGACTATTCTTTTTCTCCTCATTAGACTACAAGAGCAGAAAAATGGATGAAACCTCAATTACTACCAGAAATGTTCGCTGGAGTTTGGAACAAATTGACAGCTCGAAAAATGCTCTTTACAGTTTGTTGCATCTTCTCCATCCACGAAGGACTACTTGTGGCTGTAATATCTGGATAATTAAAAAATAACAAATTAAATAGGTACTAGCTGTAGGCATCAAATGCAATAGATTGCTGTCCTGCGTACCTGCGAAATCAGAATCATCATCAGACTCGGACTTATGTGAAGAACTTGAATCATGGTCCTCTCCAACAAAATCTTCAACTTGGTCCTCACTGTCATCATCGTCATACTTGTGTTCATCAACCTCAGAATCATATCCGTTATACTCCTCTTCATGGGTATCAGGTAGCACCTCCTCATGGTTATCATAGTTAATATCTGTACCAGCACCAACCTCCTCAATTTCCTGCTCGCTCTTTTTTCCTAACCAACGAGAACCAACAACACGACCTAACTCTTCCTTTGACAGTGACTCTGTATTTTCAGAAGCATCTTTCTCCTAAAAACATAAAAATGAATCACAAAATTAAGAATGTTAACATCGTTGATCAAAATCCCTGACCACAGGAGAATAATATATGTCATATAGTGACAAATTCCATATGCTTTGATTAGAAAAGTAAATCAATTGTTCACCCAGGAGAAGACGCAAAAGACATCAGAGGACCACTACTTAGGACTTTCTCTGATTCTCCAAAATATTACTTAACACCGTACAGAAGAGCAGAAGAGAGAGGGGTTATGCCCTTCGCTGACATTAAGCTTAAGGAGATAAAAAGTATTCGGTATATCATCCACTAAAACACGGTACTTTAAAATCAATAGCTATACCTCATTTCGGCTACTAACATCAGCTTTATCATTGATGATGGACGCCTCCTCTTTCTTTTCAGGATGCTATACAAAACGAGATTCTGGTTAGTCATGATAAACCAAATACTTTTACAGGATCACATGTGAAGAAACCTGGGCTTCTCTAAGACAACAAACCTGAGAAGAATCTTCAGGTGCATGCTCTACCTCATCAACAGGAAACTCATTGTTCACAGAATGGTCACCATGCTGTACTTCATCCACATTTTTGTCATGGCCTTCCACCACATCCTGGTATAAATATATAACATAAGTACTAGATCAAGCAACAAAGAATAATCAAGGAGACTTGTTTACCAAAAAGCACATACAAGTTTTACAGCAACTATTTGGAGATAATAGATAATGTTGCAATACGAACATCTAGAGTCAGTTCTACATTTACTAAATGACCCATTAGCTATTATGCTCAACAGCATTATTATCTCCAGAGTGTGCACAGTCGTAAATCTCTTAGAAAGTGAAAAGTTCTACTTCTAAACAAAAGGAGTACCCCAGCCTGCAGCCAAATTTGCACATCTCACAATGTTTACAGAACTTTATCATAAAGAAAAATGCTAAGCATAATGGGACATAACACATCTGTCACAAAAACCAAATTAGGTATCCTGCATATCCTTGTGAAAGAGCAATGTAAAATAGATTCACCACTAAAAATAAGGAAACTTCAGGATTTTGGAACCATAAAACATCCTTTGTCAGTAGTTCTACACTTTGTGGAGCCACGATTAGGTAAATCCTTAGCATTTTCCAACAGGGTTAAGGAAAGGAAGAGGTGGGAGTAGAAAGAATCGCAAGCACGAAGCCCAACTCCAAATATGAAGATCTCATGAAGCCGCAAATTGTAAATTGTTAAAAGAAGCCTCCTTTGAAATGTGAATAGAGTACCTTATTATTGATATTGGAGCTAATGAAGCAGTGCGAAGCTACATAATCATTCATAGAAAAGAAAAGATGTGGCATCTCTAGGCCAAAATCTTCACTAAACACACAGCATTGACTTTCACTTCCAAGGACACAAGGAATGAAAGAATAGCATATTGAGGAGATACTTATATTCATTTAAGTCATACTTGCTTCAGATTACTTAAAAAGATATACCATTGCCTTTAGTTTTTAAGGACACAAGGAATGAATAAATGACTAATCGAGGAAGTAAGTTAAATTCCCTCAAGTCAAACGTAATCCAGATCACCTTCTCCCATAAAGTTCAGAAGGACGGGGAGATAGATGAGGATGTCACACACCGTATCGGAGCAGGGTGGATGAAGTGGAGGCTCGCTTCCGGTGTCTTGTGTAATAAGGATGTGCCGTTGAGACTTAAGGGTAAGTTCTACAAGGTAGTGGCTAGACCGATTATGTTGTATGGGGCAGAGTGTTGGCCAATCAAGAACTCCCATGTCCAGCAGATGAAAGTAGCTGAAATGAGGATGTTGAGATGGATGTATGGGCATACTAGGTTGGATAGAATTAGGAATGAAGTTATTCGGGACAAGGTAGGAGTGGCCCCTGTGGAGGAAAAGATGCATGAGGTGAGGCTGAGATGGTTCGGGCATGTTAAGAGGAGAAGCACAGATGCCCCAAACAGGATGTGTGAGAGGTTGGCCTTGGGGGGTAAGAGGAGGGGTAGAGGTAGGCCAAAGAAGTCTTGGGGAGAGGTGATCAGGCGGGACATGGCGCAGCTTGAGCTAACCGAGGACATGACCCTGGATAGAACGGTATGGAGGTTGAAGATTAGGGTAGAAGGTTAGTAGGTAGTCGTGTGTTTCCCTTTTGTCTTCTCTAGTTCGATAGTATTAGACAAGAGTGGGTTGCTCTAGTGGTAAGCACCCTTCACTTCCAACCAAGAGGTTGTGAGCTCGAGTCACCCCAAGAGCAAGGTGGGGAGTTCTTGGAGGGAGGGAGCCGAGGGTCTATCGGAAACAGCCTCTCTACCCCAGGGTAGGGGTAAGGTCTGCGTACACACTACCCTCCCCAGACCCCACTAGTGGGATTGTTGTTGTTGTTGTTGTTGTAGTTCGATAGTATTAGTGTTAGTACGGTACGCATTTATCCTTAGTTTGCTATTATCACATTTCTTGTTCTGTTATTGCTTGCCATTGGTAATTCCATAGTTTGCTAGCAGTACTTCGTTCATATTCTCGTTTGCTACCTTGGATTTAGTTTTCTAAATATATTGTTTTGCTATTACTTGTGATCGATACCTCTTTCATATTTTCTGTTGATATCTTCGATTTAGTTTTCTAATTATATTGTCTTGCTATTACTTGCTATCAGGGCTTCTTTCACCTTTTTTAGCCGATGGTCTATCGGAAACAGTCTCTCTGCCCTTCCAGGGTAGGGGTAAGGTTGCGTACATCCTACCCTCCCCATACCCCACTTGTGGATTACACTGGGTTGTTGTTGTTGTTGTTGTTGTTTGCTTCTCCCATAAAGACTTCAGAACTTGGTGGAAATTATCACAAAGTTTCCCAACAAGCTAAATGTTCGCAATGTCTAGTCTTGTTATGGTTGACACAAGACTTCCTCACATCGTCCCTTCTTTTTCAGGCATTTAATGCCCACAATTAAAGAGCTAACAGCCCAGCGAGGAACCATAAAAAATTAACAGTAAAAACCTCCACACCTAGAAGTTTGTTAATGATTGTATTTCTTCTTTTATGGTAATTTTGTAGATGCGGCCCTTTGTCTATATCTATTTTGTAATCCTTCTTTTAAGCATGGGACAAATTGCAAGCCTCCTCCTTCTGATAGACATTTCTGTGGATGAATCAAGTAAGGATACCAAGTTTTATACCCGTGAAAGAAAATTTTACTTTCTAAAATCATAAATAGGTTTTGATAGCTTGGATATCTAAAAACTGCAAAATAAAAAGTAGATAGGGACTAGGGTGCAACAGAGATGTGGAAAATCAAATGTCTTAAACATGTGGAGGGAAAAAAATCAGTCAGCAGACCATAGGTATTTTCCCAAGTTCCACTATCTACTTCCATGAGATATTCTGATATCCTTACTTAATTTGGCACATGTTTAACATCATCTAATAGTGTAACTACTATAAATATAAAATAACTAACCTTTATGGAAGGAGAGTCTTCTAGGAGGCCAATCTTATCATGGATGTCACTCTTCACGGCTTCTTCGTGAACTTCAGTTTCCTTCTCAGCTTTGCTTGCGTCTAGATTAGCATCATCAGCTTCCTTTCGATCCTTCTCTTCCTTTTCTCTCTTTAACCGTTCTTTCTCCTCAACCTTCTCTATTTGTTCTTTTTTCTCTAAATCAAGAGAAGTGAACTTATAAGAAATGATTAAAAGCAAATTATTGAACTGTTTATAAGATATCAAGGTTGTTTCTCCTCAGCCTTCTTTATTTGTTCTTTTCTCTCTAGATCGGGAGCAGTGAACTTATAAGAAATGACAAAAAGCAAATTATTGAACTGTTTATGAGCTATCACCTTGCTAGGAGAAAAAGAGATATTAGTGCGTGAGAATTCAATAATACACAAAAAAATTGGACTTTTCTCATGTCATCTGTGGAAAATGGACAACAAGAAAAGTGACAATGATATCATTAATAAGTTTTGAAGCTTGCTCTACTTGGCATAGGTGTAAATACTACTCCACAAGGTCTAAGATCAGGGAACTATTAGGTAGGGGTGTACATAGGTCGGGTTGGTTCGGATTTTTCAATTATCAAACCAAACCAATGGTGTTGGGTTTTTAAATTTATAAACCAAACCAAACCAACAAAGTCGGGTTTTTCAATCTCGGTTTTTCTCGGGGTTTTCGGGTTTTTTCGGGTTTTCGGATTTTTTTTCCGGTAAAGTCTTCATAGCATAAAATATGTAACTTGTGCTCCAAATATTTCTTAAGTCCTAGTAAAATACAACTATATAATGTGTTTTCCAAGAAACTAACACAATAATATGAGATAAATCATAGCATTATACTAAAATATTCAATAACAAAGATAAAATAATAAAATTACATAAAATAAATATTGCTAATTAATAAGCCATAATGAAAATTAACATAATCTAAAAATACTATATAGGTTATGCTAAAATAAGTATAGCTAATAAGTACTAATATTAATTACATAACTAAGCACTAAAGAAAAAGATAAACTAAGTTATGCATTTTCATTATAAACCAATGTAAAACTAAAATAATTATCCAACACTATCGTCATTCCTAGTATTGAATTGAATTTCTTTTGTTAGCATTAGTATTAATTTGAACTTTATTTGAGTTACTACATTTATGGGCTATAAAATTTATTTACCATTCAAGAATGTTAAGTCTAAACTTGAAATAATGCGTTAAAAAATAAAACTGTGAAAAAGTTTAAGAAAAATTTATAAATTACATTACAATAAATATTTATATGTATAAAATATTTTTAAAAATTATATAAATGTACTATCGGGTTGGTTTGGTTTCGGTTTGACTTTTTTTAGTTAAAACCAAACCAAACCAATTATGGTCGGGTTTTATTTTCCAATACCAAACCACATCGGGTTTTTTTTCCGGTTTGACTCGGATTATCGGTTTGATGCGGTTTATCGGTTTTCTTTGTACACCCCTACTATTAGGTATCTACTCAGAATTTTCCCTATAAATTAACAAAATATGTATAACGAACAGTTTATAGTCTTTTCTAGAATAGTTTTCTATGGTCAAATCAGTATCTGCTTTTAAGTGCTGGATTAGCCTTACGGAGAGGTACCGTATAGGAACCAGTTGTTATTTATACAGGGAGCAGAGAGCATGAGCTGTATGGCACCTCGTATTCAGGAAAAAATTGAAAGATTGGAACATGGTATATCTTCAAAGCTTGCTTGGGCTCTTATACAGGGAAAAGATCTCAATGACGTGCAGAGACTATTGAAAGAGGCAGGAAAGAATGGTTTCTTCACAGTAAGATTGTGCTATTAGAGAGTTTTGAGGAGGGGAAGTGACGACCTTCCTTATTCTTTTTTTTGTGGATTCCTGAAGCACCAGAGAAGGTGCATTTCTTTGCTAGCTGGCAGTATAGAGGCCATTCTTTTAGTATGGATTCCTAAAAGACTTGCTTACATGCAAAAAAAAAAAATTGATTCTCCAAATTAGGAGGGTCATACATAAAAATGAGGAAATGTAGGAAATGAGGTCCATTCTCTTTTCTATTTAGGCTTGTTGCATTTGTACCATAACGTAGAAAAGATCAATATCAGAAAGAACCATTTTCCAGAGATATGCAAACCGGCCCCAATCTGGAGTGATAGTAACATAACAAAGAAATGTAGGTGGCATTCATCAAGCTAGGATAGTAATCCTCTCAAGTACAATCTTACTTGTGGGAAGAGAAAATTACCCTTAAGCTCATTCTCAAAAAAAAAAAAAATTACCCTTAAGCTGCTCAACTGTCTCTTTAAGTATCTTCTCCTCATTTTTCAGCTTAGATAGTTCATCTTCCTCCTTTGCTATTGCAAGTTTAGCTTCTCCAACCTCCTTCCTCCTTAGAGTTATACCTTCCTGATACGTTGCAATCTTTTTCTTCAATTTTTCTCTAGCTACTTTGCCGAACTCCCAACATGTATTTGGGCACTTAACTTTACCATCATACTCATCACTTCCGTCGCAACAATCTGCTCAATTGTGCCATTATGATAGTTAATAGGATTTAAATTTTGAGAAACATGAATATACACAAAAATATGATTTAATTGACAGGAAGAGATTGCCAAAGATAGTCCAAAGGCAATAAAAATCATTCTACAATGGTTATTTATGTAAGAAGTAATATCCTATACTAACAATGAATTCTTCAAAAACCGAAAATTTATGAAACTTTGCTTGTCCTGGATTTGAAAGATAGGTGATGTGCAACCGTCCTTTTTCTTTTTATTCATAAGCACTTCTGTATTGATCGTCATTCAAACATCTTTGCAGTTACTAAAAATGCACTATTGCAAATCACACAAAGCACTGTGACGTAGAAATAAAAAGATGCTAATCAAACACTATACAGAAAGGCAAGAGCGCAATGATTCATACCGCAAATGCCATCATTAACCCTAGATGAGTATATGAAGATAGGAACATGTCCTGTATTTTTGCAATAAAACTTCCCAGTAGGGCATGCCGAAGTCCCTGCAAAACCAATCATCAAGCACAAACAACATTCAACGACATGCACATATTAGAGCCAAAAAAGGTAAAGCAAACATCTTTGAACCCAAAAGAAATTCTAACATACTTTTGCCTCTGAAATGCTATGCAAATAAATCCTTAATTTTCTAAAAAGACGAATTATTTAGTATTTGAATGAAATAAGCCAATAAGCCGAAATATATATAGAGGATCATATAGTCAAACTCAACTATGTTCTTACTGACCTCCAATATTAAATAAATAAATAAACAAATGCAAGTGTCCATTTTTGGACAAGATGGTTCAAGCAATTTTATTTTGCTATCAGGGCATGCAGAGATCCCAGTGGTTCGAGTCCCAACAACACCACAAACGAAAAATTTTCACATGCTTGGACCGAGATAAAAAATCAGGCTCCGCATGAGGGGCACTTTGCAAACCTAATATAAATAAGGGAAATGGAAGTGCCTTTCTGTAGTGGTCTACATAGTTCGATATTTAAAATGGATGCATAGTTGATTGATTGAATGCACAAGAAATGCATATTTTTGCACGAACAAAGGAGCGAGTGAAAAAAGAGGGATCATTGGGGGGGGAGGGGGGGGGCGCACACATGGCTCGTCAGAACATAATATTGCCTCTGAAATGTACAGCAAATAAATCCTCAATTTTCTAAAATAACAAATTATTTAGTATTTGCATGAAATGAGCCCCAGTATGTGAAATGCATATAGAGGATTCGTATAGTCAAACCCAACTATGGTGTTGCTGACCTAAAATAAATAAGGGAAGATGTCCATTTTTAGATACTGTGGTTAAAGCAACTTATATTGCTATCAGAGCATGTAGAGATCCTAGTGGTTCGAGTCTCAACAACTGCACAAGCAAAACCTTTTCACATGCTAGGACCGAGATAAACAATCAGGCTCCCACATGAGAGGCACTATAAAGGGCAGCCCGGTGCACTTAGCTCCTCTTATCTATGGGTTCCGGTGAAGGGCCGTACCACATTGGATCTATATCGTACGTATCTGTTTCCACAGCTTGAACCAGTGACCTCTTGGTCACACGACAGCAGCTATTACCGTTGTGCTAAGGTTCCATGAGGGGCAGTTTACAAACCTAAACTAAGTAAATGGAAGTGTCTTTCTCTAGTGATCTACATAGTTCAACATTTGCACGATACTTCACTGATTGAAATGCACTACAAATGCATATTTTTTGCATAAACAAAGGAACAAGTGATAAGAGGGAAAGTAGGGAAAACACACACACACTCACACAAACACACACCTGGCTCGTCGGACCCATCAGGGCAGTCACAAAAATCATCATTGAACTGAGACTTGGTGAATTTCTTGGACCCATCTTTGCATTTTATAGCACCCAATGATAAACCCTTGTAATAATTCTCATCTGTACTTCAACAGTAAAAAATAACGAATATTTTCACCGGAAAATTATAAAATCACGAAATGGATCATCAGTAATCCCATTAAAAAGCAAAGATTGAATATTTATATTATTTTTAAGGAAAATAAATTGAAACAAAAAAATGAGTGTATGACAAATTAATGGGAAAACCTTGAGGGGAAATTCCGAGACTGTCAATTGAAGGAAGAGATACGGATCTGTCAATTGAATAAATTATAAAAGAAAGTAATAAGATGAATTGAAATTTTATTTTCATCATTTTCACCAAAATTATGCAATTGGAGCTCTCTTATCTTATGTATATTTGTAAATCACCATTACGGACAGCCCAATCAAAAGAGTTTTTTCTTCAGTTTAGAATTGAAAGATCGACCTCCATTGGTGGGTACTTTAAAACGGTGACGTTTTAGCAGTCTTCTCTACTATTTTATTTTTTGAGTAAATTCCACATAACCCCATTAGCATTTAAGGGCTTGTTTGGCACGAGAGATAAGGGATAATTAATCCCGATATTAAATTTGAGATGAATTTAATTGTGGTATAACTACTCCGGGATTAGTTATCCCAGGATTATAGTATTTTTTATCCCTATGAGAGGGTAGAATAACTAATTTCTGGATAACCAATCTCAGAATACTTAATTATAGGATAACTTGTTTCCCAACTAAACGGCCCTAAGGATTGGGAAATAACACCCGTTTACTTTTGGAATGGGACTGATAATCCCCTTAAACAACGTTTTTCAGTGAGCTATAAATTTAATACAAGGAAAAAATATTTTATATATAAAATGAAAAACTTATTTCCATTAGTACTCTCATTCTTTTTCGGCTATAATAATATGAGTTGAGAGTGAGAATTTATATCGTGAACCCGAATTTTGGTTGAAACTAAGGCGTAAGTTTTGTTATTGTTGTTGGTTGTGACATATTGTCCAATACCCAACATGAAAAACTTTTCTTTATATTTATCGAGAGTCCATTATTCAAATGATCACTTAACTATCTAAATTGCTAGTAAGACGGTTGAGTTATTTATGAATGTCTTCGCGCTGGACTTGATTTTACCAAAAATGAAGAAACATTCTTTTGTTTGTAACAGAAAAATCACTTAACTATTTTTATAACACTCAGAAGGTCATTTAACTAAAATTCTCAAACTTTCACTGGCCAAATATATTTTACCTCTAAATTTCAACCTTTATCTTTTTTTGATATCATAAATTTTTTTTAACTCTATATTATGAACTTACCTATGGAATAAATAAATCTTATTTATAAAGTAAAAAAGGGAAACATAATTTCCAGGCATATATAATGTTGGAACAAAATAATTGAACAAAGTTTTCAAGCATACATAATGTATATTATAAATATACCTCTATTTTAAATAATAATTATTTTGTATTACAATTATTTTTGTGAGGTGATGCCAGGGGAAAGGGGCCGTTTTGTTTCCTCAAGCACTTTGCCACTTCAAAACTTAATTTTCAGACTTTATGATACCAACAATGGCATGAATCATGATAATTGAATGTCTTTTTTTTTTTTTTCTATATCGTTTACTTTTCCTTTGACTTTCTTTTTTATTTATGTTCTAGTTCTATATTGAGGATGAAGTCAATTAATTACAATAATTAATGAAAAAAATAATTCAAATATTACAAAAGTACTGTTAGCAAAGTTAACTAGAGTTTTAATTTATTTTTCAACGAACTACAGGATAGTTTTTAGGAAGTTGGAGTTTTTTAACATTTTTTCAACCAACCAAAAAACAATTCTATATTAAAAAAAAAATTGTTTTACACCTAATGTTCTATACACTCATTAGGCCGCGACTAACCTGGATTCGCCCCCTAATTATTAGTTAAAATCCTAAAAGGAATAAAACTTAATTTCTTGCTTCCTACTCCTTGTTGGCATGGGATTTATCATATAAATGTTGGTTATAACACCTATTATATATATTTTGGTTCTTTCCTCTTATACTTCTTGTTTTCATCTTCAATTAATTAATCTCTTTCTTCTTCACCAATAAGAATTAAGAACAAACTTTTTCTTCATTACCAATTTTCATGGCAACGTATACTTTCGAACAAAGTGAATACCTTGAAGATGTAATTGAGAGTCAGGTAATCTTCATCTAAGTTTTCAGTTTTTTTTTGTTAAATTTTACCTATAAAATTTTCGTCAATTACGTGAACCGTTTGTTGTGTTATATGTGTTATTCTTATTGTTATTGTTATTCTAAGCTAGTATAATACTTTTTTCGCGAATGTTAATCTGTTATAACTGCCTTTATATCCTAGGATGGAGCTAGCCTTATTTAAGAGAAGTCAATTCACATCGAAAAATTACATTATGTAGTTTTAATTATTTTTTTTACATATATATACTAGCTTTATGTTGAATCCTTGCCTTCTTCATGTATTTATTACTTTATATTTTGAATTTTTTTAGTAAAAAATTTGGGTCCGCCACTGTTTATATCTACTCATCCCTAACCCCTTATCACATATTAGCACGCTTATGATGCATCATATATAATCAATAGACAGTAATTTTTTCCCCTTTCTTGCTATCCAACAAGTACGATTTTTCTTTGCTTTTTTAGTAATTTCACTTTTATTAGTATTATGTTTTAGTTGTAGCTATATGGTCTCTAAGGTTTTGATATTGTTTACTTCAATTTTCTTCTTTATTTCCTTGGCTGTTGAATACTTTTTAATTTCTTCCTCTTTTTGATAATTTTTTTTTTAAATGAAAATATGTAGGGTTTCTATGTGATGAACGATTTTGGTTGGAAAACATCTTGTGGAATAGTGAAAATTGGCCAAGATTCTGAAGCTTTTGAAAAAGCAAAGAAAGCTACAACTTTTGCAGTAGATAAATACAATGAGAAATCAGAGAATTCAAAGTTGGAATTATTGAGAATTATGAATGTTAATTTTGAACCTACTGCTGGTGCAATTTATTATATTACTTTGGAAGTCGTGGATTTATCTTCTAGGAAAATTCTTCATTATCAAGCTAAGGTCTGGGAAAAAATCAACACTGGTTATAAAGTTGAGATTTTTCGACTTGCCCCTTATGCGCCGAAACTCTCAGGTAACTTATATTCTTTATTATCAAAAATAATTTAACTTATATATACTGACGACGATGTACGAATCACTACTAAAAAATGGAAATTTTCTATCGACAGCCGATTCCAAGGGATTTCCGACGGAATGTCCATCGGAAATTTTCGTTATTTTAGTAGTGAATTTCTTACAAAAATAATGTATTTTAACTTGCTATAGTATGTTATTTATGTTATTTTTTTTAAATTAATAAATTAGATTATTATTATAGTGAATAACATGCTATTGTAGGTCACCTAAACATGATAGTATGTACAATATTGATACATAAAAGTCAAACTCTACTAAAAATAACACTCCATTTTCTTATTCAGTTTATGAGTAGAAATTCTTGTAAAATTGTTTAGGAGATTAAAAAAATAAAATTATTTTTCATATTTCTTAAAACTCTTAGTATTTTTCCTTCAAAAGATACTAATTTGATAAAATTGACTTGAGAAAGTGAAAGGCTATTATTGTTTAAACGTATGGAATAATTTTTATGTTTTTAAACAATATTCACCTAAAATTTAGTTGGTCACCTTATATTTTATTTTTTTTCTTTTGATATGGGGTTATTTATTGCAGAATGTGAAGAAGAGAAGCATTGCTGTGTTAAGGTTAATAATTTGCAGGACTGGATGGATGAGAATTATCTTTATTACAAGTGTTGTTACACATTCAAAAAGGTAATTAATTTTTAAGCATAATTTACTGTTTATCTTTCTTCATAGTATAATTTTCAGACTGGTAAGTATTTTAAAAGGCTTTTTTGAGATTGCCCGAGGCTCGCCCTTAGGCGGAACACTCGCAAAACGTTCGGAGGATCATACGTGAGACTTATTTTTATGAGGCTTACGCCCTAAGCACCCGACTCTAAACACATCTAATGCTTAACACTTTGGAATCGCCCAACAGTTTCTATACAAATCATGTGTCAATTATCTAATTTCATATTTTTATGTTCTTTAACATGAAGTAAATTTTGATTAGTTAGTTGATTTGTTATTTTCAGCTTGTTTCTGTGGAGGTGATTAGAAATAAAGAAACTGGCAAATCTATGGGCTATGGTTTTCTTTGGTTCAAAACTCACTCAAAAGCAATGGAATTTTTAAAGAAAAATGAAGGAAAGCAAATGCCAAATTCCAGCCAGAATTACTCATTGGTGTTTGGAAAATTTTGAAGGCCTGTGTTTTTATACATAGTCTATTATCCTTTTAAAGATTATGTTATTTTATGTATTACTCATTTACATAGTTTAATGTAATACTTACAATTGGTTTTTATGGTATTTAGATGATGGTCTTTTCTTAAGTAGTTTCCAATAAAAACTTTTACTTCCACCACACCTCCTCGCATGATCTCGTTATTGATTAATTTCAAACTATTATATAATTTGAGAAAACGAACGGTCTCATTATTCGCTGAGTTTCTAATCGTGCACTACCTCGCTCTCGAATTTGATTATTAGTTTATACACATATGTACAATGTAGTACATATATATTAGAAAAGTAAAAAAGCAATTTAATAGTAGAAGGGTAATTGAAATACTAAATTTGCACGAGAAAGCTTTAACAATGTCTTATTTAATTTTTTTTCCTTTTTACATTAACAAAAAACGCATAATAACAAGAATAAAGACAACACTTCCCCTCTCTTAATTTGCGTTGCGGCAAATTCTAGCAGTTGGATTTGTAACACAAACTTGATAGTACTTCTTCTTGGCTTCCGGGGAGCCGCGCTTCGGCTCCTCGTCGGCCATGGCGGCCTTTGCCACTGAGCTAGCGGCAACAGCCGCCATGGCGAAGAACAACTCTCTCCGGCCACTGTTGTTGCTCTCTTTCTTGTAGCTCATTACAACATTTTCTCCCTCAAATGGCACCTTTGAGCTTGCCTTCGCCATGACAACCCCGCGGCGGTTCGCGGCCGGGACTTTGGTCAAGGCCGCGACGGAGCCGCCTGCCAAGGAGGTTGTCATTGTCATTGAAGCCATTTGATCAACTCAAAAATTTTCCTAGTTTGATTGCTTATTACTTGCTTTCAGTTTTGTGCAAAGGAATGGTTTGGCTTTGGTGTTAGTTAAAAATATGTATACATGTAAGAAACAAAAAGGAAATAGTGATTTCCATAAGGTATGTTATCCATTTTCTTATCTAAACAAAGGTTTCAGAGCCAATGATTTTTTGCCATGTGGACAGCTCAATCTTGGAAAGAAAATTTGTGGTTATTGAGCTCCTATTATAGGTACCAATTTTGAGGACGATTTTGTTTCAAATTGTCTTTTCATGTTTTTTGGCTTTTGTTTTTATCTTTCTTTTCTTGACCGTTTTATGGTTCCCTTAGCTTTTCCAAAATATTTATTTAAACTCTAATATTAGTAACCAATGAACACTTTCATCCCACCCCATTTTTATTTTTTTCCAACTAGTCAGTTGATTTGCCTAAAGAGTGAAAACAGTCAGCAAAATAATCTCAATATTTGCAATCATTTTACTCCAACTACCATAAAAGAATTCAACGCCTCCCCTAAGAACTTCCAATTATCAAATGTTAACTAACCAACCTCAACTGGTAATAACAATAACAAGCAAAGGGGAATCTGGAATAAAGGGCAGACCGGTGCACTAAGTTCCCGCTATGCGCGGGGTCCGGAGAAGGGCCGGACTATAAGGGTCTATTGTACGCAAACTTATCCTGCATTTCTGCCAGAGGCTGTTTCCACGGCTTGAACCCGTGACCTCCTGGTCACATGGCAGCAACTTTACCAGTTACGCCAAGGCTCAAGGGGAATTGGAATGAGCAACAAAAATAGACACAAAGATAGTCCAAGCTAGCTAGGCATTTGCCATTAACAAGTTTTTCAAGACATAACAAACTAACAAAGTTTGAATGAATCAAATTATAAAGAGAGAAAATAAGACTATCCAAATTCTATTCTAATCTTGATCATCCCATCTAACTGTCTTTTTCTTCCTCCTCCATACTCATTAATGAGGAAGAAAATAAAAGGGTAAAAGGAAAGCACTTCGAGTCGTTGACTAACTGTGTAGTCAAGTTTTCACATTCTCCCTGATGAACTGCTCCAACTGAGAGATTTCACCAGTCAAACCAGAAGCTTCGGCAACAATTACTTTGTTACAGCACTGAGAAAATCCAAATGGTTCTCCGGATACTCCAAGCGTAAACTCGTTAGAAATGTCTGCCTCAGATACTGCAGTTCTTGATGTACGAAGCTTGTCGCTGAATAACAATGGCAAAACAACCGCGGAACACATTCAGAAAACAGAAAACTCCGAGTTCAACATAAAGTTAAAGCAGTTTTAGATAAGTCCATTGACATAAGGAAAAGTTTGCTATAAAGAAAAACGGAAATAAAAGGAAAACAAACGTGACAGGATAAAATGCAGAACTATTGAGTTAGCTTTCCCATGAGGCAGTCCTGGTAGAGGACGCGCTTTTTTTATCAAATATAATCCTATATTTACACCTAACATTAGTCAACTGACATTAGTTTTTATTTTTTGAAATAATCAACTGATATTGTTTCAGAAACTCTAAGAACACGGACTTGAGTAGCTTGCTGATGCAAATAGCAGCTAACGATATCGCTACTATTGACTAAAATGGGAGTATAGAGTTATCTTACATTTCCTTCTCCAGCTGTTTCCTTATGAACTCCTTTGTATGTGCAGTTATTTTATCAACCTTGTTGCACAGGAGAAGTACTGGAATCTTTTTCTTGACCACAGTTGCTTTTGTCAATATTTCATACAGGTACCTTTTGTGAGACGGCATTAAAATGTCAGAATCAGTTATCAAGCAAATAATCCATATGAAGATTAATAGTTAAAAGTAAGTACTCTGCAGCAGTACGGCTATTTGGTAAAAATTCCACTGAATCCACCACAAACACAATGCCAGCTGCTTGAGGCAAAAACTCATCTAGTTTCGGACGCAAACGAGAATGCCCTGGAACATCAACAATATGAACAGGTCTTGTTTTCCCCTTCTGCAGCCAAACAAAAACAGGTCTGAAAATTTGAATTGTGAAGTCCATTTGCGGACAAATATAATAAATGGCACTTCCGCACATCAATTAAGCAAAAAACTAAGTACAGCCAAGGTAGACTACTAGCACTTGACAAAATCCACCCTTATTGAAGGTTGAAAGAATGATAATCTAGTTACATGGCAGGAAAAGGGAAAGAAAAACATACGGTCATCACTACCTTTTCTCTCTCAGAGTGTAGTATAAAACTGTCTTCATTTGGTTCCATCGATGTCACAGTACCCTGATGGGCTGAGCCATCTCTAAGCTATAACAGACATCATAAAAAGATAAAGTCACATAACCTTTTATAAAAAGCTTATATCAGGTCCTGCATTCGTTCATTCAACAGCACTTACCTGGTAGAAGAGGAAAGTTTTGCCACTTCCACTCAGTCCAGTGAGTAAAATTGTATTAGATGTTGTACGTTTAAAAAGGCAAACTGCAAAAAGACACTAAGAATTTCTAATTTCAGCTTTTGATGAGAAAAAATTCAGCAGGTAACATGGAGCATTTAAGGACAGAAGAGAGACATAAAAGTTTAGGGGAAGGGACCAAGAAGGAAGTAGATTTTAAAAAAAGACTTAATCTATAAGTTCCTTACAGAGAGAAAGAAAAATGTTTTGGGAGAAAATAACAGAAAGACCGAGCGAGGCATGTAATTTAAGGACAATTTTAATTCAACGGCATGTGGTTCATTTCTATATTCACTTCTCCATGAATCATTTATTACAATCACGTGACTCAGTTTATTAACTATATATTGTTCCCAGCAGCTGATACCAGGAGACATACTACTGTTGCTAAGAGTTAATATCGGCATCACAATTTTTTGCCTCTTCGTGTTTCCACTAACACAATCCACTACACACCCAAGCCAACTCTTAGTGTTCCCACTGACATATTCCACTTCACACCCACAACCAGACAACATCTACTCATCGAACATATGTAACAAATGATCGTACTGTCAGAACTATTATGACTTGTCTTTACAGAGGAAAAGAAAGAACAGAGTTCACATATTGATTACAACACCTACATCAACTTTAATCAATCTGCATTGCTTTTGTGGCTACATCAATATCCTCTACAAGCATCACTACTACAAATCCTTTCTTCTGTTATCACAATATCACCCAACATGGATCCAGCATATGTAAAGCAATTTCAAAACGCATCAAACGTTTGATAACACTTAAAAAATTATAGATTACAACAGCAGAGACAATAGTGGCCATTGATGAACTTGTTGGTTCAGTTGTCTTCATTGGTCATACACATCCTTAAGGAAGAACACTAGTAAGTCAAAAATATTTCATTAAGGTTAGGAAGAAGCAGCACCATGAAGTCAGAAGCAAAGCACCTAGCGACTTAAGAAGAAGATATGCTGGACAGTAGCACTATGAACTACAGGAGACACTATATAAGGGACTCTGGGGCTTTGACAAGAGCAATTAGATCTGATTTATATATAAATGATCTGCTGAACAATGGACAGCGTTGGGTGCTTTAAATTGACTTAAGAAGAAGATATGCTAGACAGTAGCACTATGAACTACAGGAGATATTATATTGGGACTCTGGGGCTTTGCGTCAAGAGAAATTAGATCTGATACAGATATAAATGATATGCTGAAAATGGACAGCATTGGTTGCTTTAAATTGGCAATGACAGTGATGATAGATAGGTTGAAATTCCAATAGAGTCACTAAGACTCCTTTAACCTATTGACCATCCAGTACAAGAAGATGAGAATTTTCAATTATCCAGAATAATTAGGAATCTTCTGCCAAGTCTTGGCTCAAAAGCTAATTCAGACTTGGAAGGAAGGCAATAATGTGGTAGAGTCATCTCGCCTCTATTCTGTACCTCCTAAAATACTTATCCTTCTAGATCCTTCTCCAAGTTTGAGGTACTTCCTTTTCACAATATGCAAATTAAGTTGCATTACAGAGATTTCTTGAACAGTAAGATAATTTCCAAGTTACAAAAGAGGACATAGCTGATGGTTTTACTGCTTGAATTACGTAAATAACTGGATGTAGTATGCCGACGTACGCATTAATAGTCCGCAGGATTTGGAAAATCTCGAACACTTAAAGGTACAACCACAATGTAGTTCTACCCAATTCTCCTTCTGTTTATAGTGGTTACTTTTTTGCCCCAACAGAATGGATTGTCAAACACGGAGGACGATACATTTAATATAAGAGTAAATCGCACATGAGATGAGCTCAAAAGGAAAGGATATATAGCCATTTGAACACACCCAAGAAAGACTTTAAAGTGCAAAATGTGTCAAGGAATACAGTAACAGCTTACTTATTAGAAACAAAATCATGGTAAATAAGACGACCCCGACTGCAGCATAAAGTTGAGTAGGAGGTATATGGTGAACATATTCTTCAACTTCATATAACCACTGCTGCATTTGAATCTGCAACTGCTCAATTTTCTCCTTATCCATTACTTTGAACTCACTTCACTGAGTTTGAATCTTTCCTTACATAACAACATTTACAGAAACGTGTCAGTCTATAGCACACAAATGCAATATATACACCCAGAGAGACAAAAGAAAGCATTCAAGTATTTGACAAAGAATACATCATAAGTTTATCAACCAAATATTTCATTCAAGGTGGGGCAAAACCCTTGTTAGAAACCAGAGACGGATCCAAGATTCGAACTTTATGAGTTCGAGATTCTACCACAGCCTATTTGACTAACTGGGTTCGAAATCTATTATACATAGTCAATCTTTAATATATATATACAGGGTATGAGCCAAAGCTACTGGGTTCAGATGAACCCATGACAATGCACTACATCTGCCACTATTAGAAACCCCCCAAAAGATTTCTTTTTCCAATATAGGCTAAGGTAGTATATGTGCAACAGGCAGAGGCGGATCCAGGATTTCAATTTTATGGGTTAAACATTTCCGGTTCTTAGTATTGAACCTATTATATTTTTAAAGTTATGGGTTCAGACCCACTATATGTTACAATTTTGGTGAATTTTTATACTAATTTATACTCCGTGTCGAAAGTACTAGGTTCAGATGAACCCGGTACTATAACAATACATACGCCTCTGGCAACAGGTGCCCATTACTTTCGACTCGACCTATATATAGTTGAGCAATTTAATATACAAATGTGTATGTGTATACATACATAGTTGAGCAATGTAAATATACAAATGTGTACACACACACACGTTGCTAATGGGTTCAGCAATTATGAGCATTCGCTGACTTAAAATTTTGGATTCCTCTCAAACAGATCATAAACTCAATAAGAATAACATTTTTCAACAAATAATTCTGTCTAAAAAGGCCACAGTAAGCAAATTACAGAAAAAGTACAATTGGACCTGCAAAATTCAGAATACAGAGAAATGCAAATACGAAATGAGCACAGATTTTTGCCGAACTATTCAAAGAGAATTAGAGTTTTGGATTTGATGTCGAAACAAGAAAAAAAGCAAAATGACAGAATGTATCGAAGAAAGGGTAAGAGGGAAACCTGTAATTCAAGTAATTGACTGCAGCAATGAGGTAGAATTCAAAAGTGAAGACAAAATCTGTGGAAATTCGGGTCAAGATGTAGAATTACAATGAAAATGAGGATTTGGGCCTGTGGTTAATCCACTCAAATGGGCCTTTTAGGATGTACTAATTCTCTAGAAATAGCATGGTATAGCCACTTTTTTAAGTGGTATTTACTTTTTAGCCAGTATTTTTAATATTGAGCAAATATAGCCACTACTCTATTAAAATTGATACGAAAAGTTTTTTTTACCCTTTCTTCATGAGTGATGTTAAATATTAAGGACACTATGTTATTAACATTTACACTGCATACATGAAGTTAAGGACACCATGTCCTTAACATTTACAATGCACATATGAAGTTAACGACATAATGTCCTAAAGTTTAACAAACAAATACAAGTTAATGATATTATGTCCTTAACATTTATATTGCACACATGAAATTAAGTACACCATGTCCTTAAAATTTACGCTGCACACATGAAGTTAAGGACACCATGTCCTTAATATTTACATTGCACATATGAAGTTAAGGACATGATGTCCTAAAGTTTAACAACAGAAGTTGCAAATACAAGTTAATGATATTATGTCCTTAACATGTATATTGCACACATGAAATTAAGTACACCATGTCCTTAATATTTACATTGCACATATGAAGTTAAGGACATGATGTCCTAAAGTTTAACAACAGAAGTTGCAAATACAAGTTAATGATATTATGTCCTTAACATGTATATTGCACACATGAAATTAAGTACACCATGTCCTTAATATTTACATTGCACATATGAAGTTAAGGACATGATGTCCTAAAGTTTAACAACAGAAGTTGCAAATACAAGTTAATGATATTTTGTCCTTAACATTTACATTGCACACATGAAGTTAAGGATACCATGTCCTTAATATTTACACTGCACACATGAAGTTAAGGACACCATGTCTATAATATTTATATTGCACATATGAAGTTAAGGACATGATGTCCTAAAGTTTAACAACAAAAGTTGCAAATACAAGTAAATGATATTATGTCCTTAACATTTACATTGCATATATGAAGTTAAGGACACCATGTCCTTAACATTTACACTGCACACATGAAGTTAAGGACACAATGTCCTTAATATTTATATTGCACATATGAAGTTAAGGACATGATGTCCTAAAGTTTAACAACAGAAGTTGCAAATACAAGTTAATGTTATTATGTCCTTAACATTTACATTGCACACATGAAGTTAAGGACATCATGTCCTTAACATTTACATTGCACACATGAAGTTAAGGACATCATGTCCTTAACATTTACACAACATGTCTGAAGCTAAGGACACCATGTCATTAATATTTACACATCACTCATGAAATTAAGGACATTATGTCCTTAACATTTACATTGCACACATGAAGTTAAGGACATTATGTCCTTAACATTTGCATTGTACACATGAAGTTAAGGACATTATGTCCTTAACATTTACACTACACACATGAAGTTAAGGACATGATGTCCTAAAGTTTAACAACAGAATTTACAAATACAAGTTAAGGACATTATGTCTTTAACATTTACATTGCATACATGAAGTTAAGGACATTATGTCTTTAACATTTACATTGCATACATGAAGTTAAGGACTACATGTCCTTAACATTTACACTATATATATGAAGTTAAGGACATGATGTCTTAGAGTTTAACAACCGAAGTTGCAAATACAAGTTAATGATATTATGTCCTTAATATTTATATTGCACACATGAAGTTAAGGACATCATGTCCTTAACATTTACAATGCACATATGAAGTTAAGGACATGATGTCCTAAAGTTTAGCAGCAGAAGGTGCAAATACAGGACACTTTGTCCTAAATATTTATACAACATTCATGAAGTTAAGGACTACATGTCCTTAACATTTACAATGCACATATGAAGTTAAGGACATGATGTCCTAAAGTTTAGCAGCAGAAGGTGCAAATACAGGACACTTTGTCCTAAATATTTATACAACATTCATGAAGTTAAGGACACCATGTCCTTAATATTTAAACAATACATATGTCTAGCACAAGGGGTATTTTTGTCCGCCGGGTAAAAATTTATTAAGCACTGGCTAAAGAGTAAATACTTTTAAAATAGTGGCTAAAAAATAAAGATATCTCTAATCAGTGGCTATCTGTGCACTTTCCCTTGTAATTCTAGTGAAAATAGCACGGACTAGCCAGTTTTCAGACTGGTAATTGAAAAATAGTCAGCATTTATAAAGTCATTGAAAAGTTTCACCATAATATGCTGCATTATGGAGTTTCTGCATATAAACTTCCAGCATATTATGTTGGAATTCTAATACATTATGAAATTCCAGCACATTATGCTGGAATCTCATGTAAAAAATTGAACTCTAACATATTATGCTGAAATTTTTCCGGATTTTAAGGATATTTTTGTTCATTTTTATCTTTACATGAAAAAATGGCTAAATTTCGATTACATTTGAAATTGTGAATTATTTTTCAATTACCAATTGTAAATCTGGCTATTTCCGATTTCCCTCCTAATTTTGTGGTCCATTTTTCAAAACATTAGGCCCATTACTGCTTCTCCTCTACCAAATGTTGTTATTGTTGTTAAATATTATTGAGATCTCTATGGAAATAGCCTGCCTGATTTACTATTAATTTTTTCTAGCTCTCTCTCTCTCTCTCTCTCTCTCTCTCTCTCTCTCTCTCTCTCTCTCTCTCTCTCTATATATATATATATATATATATATATATATATATACACACACACACACATCCATCGACTATATTTAGTTTCAGTGGTCGGGTGGCGGCTATTTAGGTTAGCTCTTCAATATTTTATTTTTCTAATTTATCCCAAATTATGTGACACTATTTTCTTTTTAATCAGTTCCAAAAAAAAAAAAACGACACACTTGTATATTTAGTAAATATTTATAATCATATAAATATTTATGACTTATTTTAGATCACAAATTTAAAAGTCTTTTTTTTTAATTATCTGCAGAAATAAACATCGTTACATAAGTTAGGACATAAGGAGTACATTTGGTATTTATTGAAATATTAGTAAGTTGTCAAATACATATCTATGCTCCACATAAAAAATACGAAGTTCAGATGAATCTCGTAGCTAAAAAATTACACTGTCCCCGGAAAGAACTTTATCATATAAGTACATATTTATTGCACCGGCGGTGACACAAAACTTAAACCCCTTAATTTCTACCATCTATTACTATTACAAATCATTAAATACCTTCAAAATACAAGTTATGGTAATTTGTTGATTTGGCAATCCTTCAGTTCCCATGTTGAAAAAAAAATCTTTCAGTTCCCATAAATTCCGCGTTTGATTTTCCTTTTCCGACCTATCCATATTTGGCAAGTAAACATTATTTTTTTCAGAATATAATTTATGGTTTCGTTTCCATAATTAGATGCTTTTTTGAACCAAAAAACAACTTTTGGCTTGTTATAGCGTAATATTTTTCAAAATATAACTTATGGTAATTTTAATTTCTGTTTTCATAATCCTTAAGTTTCCATATATTAATTCCGTGTCTTAATTATTCTCCTTTCCCACATGACTATCTAATTATGGCAAGTAAACATTACAACTACGTACTCCTATATATAGTTGCATTGCATGAACAACTTTATTCTTCCTCATCACAGCCCGTTAACCCGAACTCTAAACCCTGAACCCTGATCGCTCTCTCGACATGGACGAGACCGCGTTATTCGTCGGTGGTTTCGGGGTTTTGTTTTTGGTAGCAGTTTTTATTAAATCAATGACTCCATCACCAGCAACAGTTGCAGCAGCAGCAACTTCTACTTCAAATCCTATGCCACTAATTTGTATTGGTTTGCTTATTATTGTCATTATTGCTTCTTTTGCTAGAATGCCACCAAGTGGTGGTGCCTAATAAATTTTTTTTTTTCATAATAGTTTTTTTTTTTTCTTCAAAATTGTCTAGTTTATCTGCATGCATGTAGTGCAGACTAGTATTATTTGGTGTTAGATTAATGTTTTGTTTTTTTAATAAAAATAATGTTAATTTTATGTTTTGGTATTTAGATACTGCAAAGTCATGTTTATATTTGTTGTTTAGTTGTGTGGAATGGTTCGTTGCAGATTTAAGATTTGGATGTTAAATTCGGAATTATATTTTATCACAACTCATTAGTTTACTAGGATCGAAATTTGTACTTATTTAATGAATTTTAAACGCATACAATATTCGATACTAGTACTAGAATACCAAAAACAATAATCAAAACATTCTCCATACAAATATATTTCAAAATGTTAACGACAATTTTTTTGCTGGGTGATTTTCCAAAAATATATATAGAGGAGAGTTAGTATGAATAATAAGTTCATGAAAAAAAATCTGTCACTAAGTGACAATTATTATATCTGCTATCTAAATGTTTGAATCAACTCCGAGATATTGTCTATTACAATCTTAAATATTATGAAATCAATAAAGCTGAAATTTAATATTTAAGGATAACGATAATAGAAAGAACATATGGAAGCCATTATTATATCTTCTATAACTTGCATACGTTGAATGTGGTTTATGAGTCTCATATGGCACATGAGATTTATAAGTCGTATTTGTAGAATAAATTTATAAGTAGTAATTACATAAGTCACATTTATTGATGCGATTTATATATTCAATAACCGACACACCTCAGTTTTTTTCCATTCTTAGATTCCTGCTTTGATTCTGTTTGTCACATAAAAAATTTCTTTTTAAAGTGCTAGTTCTTCATTTATAAATAAAAACTATTTTTTAAAAATAAGATTTCTCCTATAAAGAGTAAGAAGTTATTCTTTAGTGTAGTATAATTGAGTACAAATATACATCAATAAATTACTACATTTATCAAATAATTGACGATCATTGATT